ATGTTTTTGTGTATGTGCAGAATGGATGAATAAGTAATAGTCCTTGTGCAGCACAAGAGCAGGGTGAGATAGAAAACTGAATGTACTTGCGTAAAGGTATCTACAAATAAACACGACAAAAGATCATGTGGCTCGTGGTGCTGAGCCTCCCCCTGCATTGATTTGGTTTCAGAGTGCATACATTGGCAGCTGCTCTCAGAAAATTCTGCTTTAAATGCTGTGTATCAACAGCTGCCTGTCAATGCCTGGAAGTTAGACTACAGATTAAATACAAACATAAACCCTACCCTTCCATTTTACTGATGAAGTTCAATGTGGCTGTTTACTGTGCTTGGCTGCAACCTGATACTCCCCATAGCTATAGCAGCATGTCAGGGGTGTTGAAGTTGCAGCTTTAGTGCAATGTAGTCCCATTTATTTTGTCAATAAGCCTGTGACACAGGAGCATTTGTATGATTTGTTGCCCACTGAAGCATTTCTATACATTTGAATAGAAGTCCAAATTGCATATTTTTTATATGAATGACTGCTTTATTGGTTCATTAATCCCAGGTTGCAGCAGTCTCTCATATGTATTTCTGTATTAACACCCAAGCTGTTGCAGTTGACATTTGGAAATGCTCGCAAGCTTTTAAGTCAGTAATCTGCATATTAAGCAGTCCCTAGGTTTAGGGTCTCCTTGCAATAAGCATCCAGGAGACATTTGTATATTCTTGTTCAGGGAGACCTTAGAGCAGCATCCAGTACCTAAAGGGGGCCTACAAGAAAGCTGTAGAAGGAGTTTTTACAAAGGCAGGTAGGGACAGAACAAGTTGGAATGGTTTTAAAATGAGAGAGGGGAGATTCAGGTTATATACTAGGAAAAAAAGTCTTCACTATGAGGGTGGTGAGGCCCTGGCACAGGTTGCCCAGAGAAGCTGTGGCTGCCCCATCCCTGGCAGTGTTCAAGGCCAGGTTGGATGGAGCTTTGAGTAACCTGGTGTAGGGAAAGGTGTCCCTGCCTGTGGCAGAGGATTGGAACTGGATGAGCTTTAAGGTCCCTTCCAACCCAAACCATTCTCTGATTCTGTAATTTTTTCTTGCTGGGACCCACTTGCGTGTTCATACAAATCCACTCTTTGATGCTCCACTGGTGAGTGCGAAATGTCTTTAAGGAAGCGACATGGACAGCGAAATTTGTGTGTCTGCCATCATCTCTCTTGCCTCTAAATATTTTGAGTATGCATTATTGTGAGAGTAAAACTTTGTGGTCTGTTGGTTTGACTTACAGACATGAAGGCACAAGCAGCTCTGGCTGTTGCTGCTAGGGCTTCCTGCTGTAGCCTGGATCCATTGAACATTTATCTCCAAAGCTTGCTGTGCTCCAGGTTTCTCATCATAACATGAGGGGCATACAGATCACATTGTCTCTCCCTCACAGTTTGTTTTGGATTAGTGCATACATGCATATGTACTTAAATACCTGTGTGCATATGTGTATGTTTGTGTGGGGAGGTGGGTGGAGTGTTTTCCAGTGTTTGCATTGCCTGTGCTGGAACACTGTCCAGCTGTACTGCCCATCTCTGCTCTCATTTTGATGTTACTGGGAAGAAAAAGAAAGTCTGGCAGTGTCTGTTCTTGCAGGGTTATGATTAATCTTGAGATGATAGGAGCTTTTCCAAAAGCCCGAGCCTCTAATCAGTGTAATGTGCTGGAATTGATCCTCCTTCCCACTCCCATTCTCATTACAGTCATAATTTTCATTTATAGTCCCTTTGTAGTGGGAAGTGCTCAAGGACTTCAGGTATGCAATAGCTCTGGTCTCCGAAGGTCTCTCTCTATGGGTCTTCAATAGGTTGGATGTCTCTCTTTTTGGATAGAGAATCTCCAAACAAACTCTCTGGAATTAAAAAAAAAAAAAAATCCTTTATTTTTCTGTTTCAGTAACACTGGGTTTTGTTTTTTTTTTTCAATTATTCTTTTTTTAACAAAACCCTGGGTTTTGGGAACTTGGCTGAACTTACTGAACACATGGGGATGATGATAGGGGACATGCACAGTTAAGGTGAATCTCTGTTTGCTGAGTGACAGGAACAGCCAAGTAGCTAGCCCTTGCTTGCAGCTCTCCAGCAGGTGCTTTCTCCTCCTCTGGCCATCTCCTGTGGCTGGCCATGAGCATGGGGAGGCTGCCTGTTGAGGATGAGGGACGGGTTGGTCCTAGTGACAGGAGACCCTGGTGCTCCCTGGGGCATCCTTCAGGTAATCCTGTTTCCTGGGGTGCCTTTATTTTAATGTGCCTTAATGCACTGAACAGGCGTGTGAAGGTTGTGTGATCCAGGTCTTCTTTTCTTGTACTTCCTAGGTGATTACTCTGTGTGGTGATTGCCTAGGAGGGTGTATTGGGTGAGGAAAACCTGTCCCTCATATTGAGATATACTCTGCTTTCATAGTTTACTTTTAGCACAGTACCTTTGGCTGCATGTCAGCATTTTTTCAGTGTTTAGAGATGATTAACTTATCAGAAGGTTTCCCTGCTGGGATATATTAGTGTAGTTGACACTCTTTTCCTTTTAAAGAAGAGGAGCTGGCTTCATGTTGGGTTTCTTTGGGATTTTTTTCTCCTCTGTGCACAGATGGCAATTATTTGTTTTCATGATATATTAGTAACCTGCCAGAAAGTGAGAGGCCTGGATTAGGTGATTTACTTATTGCTATTAAGTAATGTAGAAAGTCAGAACCCATAACCATGAACGTGCTGGAGCACATACTCATAATCCAAACATATTGTTCATAGCTCAGAATGATTTGTTAATCGGACTTGCCTTTTTTTTTCCCTCTTTTCTCTTTTTTCCCTTTTCCCCCCATGTTACCTGGAGACTTTTATACCTCTTGCTGTTGAGTTACCCAGAACTGTGACATAGCCCTGGCTCTCCTCCAGGCTTATGGAGAAGGAGGCGTGCTCAGTGCAGCTCAGTGCCCTTCACCAGAGGGGCAGAACATTTAGGGACCTGTGACCAGGTCAGGCAAGAAACTCCCAGGTGGTAGGCTGGATGGCACCCAGGAGCCGTGGTGATAGCCGAAAGCAAGCCCTTTCCATGCCTTCAGTAGGGCAGGAGTGGAAGTTTCCCATGTGGGAATGAGCTTCTGCTGCTAACTGGAGCCAGCACTGGGGTTTTGAGACCAGTGTGTCAAGAGTGCTTCTCCCTTAGATCTGGCCCCTCAGATCAATAATGCAGGACAATTAATCAGTGTTAGTGTAGGAGAATTAATCAATGTTTAATGTTTTCAAATCATTGCACAGCTACTCAGTAATGACATGGATATTCTGTCCCCAGCTGTTCTGTGGATTTCGGCACTGGTTTTCCCTTTTGCTCTGAAGAGGCTGAATTCCTGGGGCTTTTTCCAGTTATGCAGGTTTGGGATTTGCTGTGTGAAAACAACCCTGCCTTGAGTTTGGCTTTTTATTTACCTGAAGAGGCTTTCCTGCTGGAGAAGCTGCTTAAAACCTCAGAGAGCTGATGGTTGCCTTCTACTTACTTGAGGCCACTAGTAGTCAGTGAGCTCTCATGGTGTTTTCTCCCTCTGTAGGTGATATATTAGGGCTGATTATCTTCCTTTGCAGGATAAATCATGGGGTAGAAAAACAGAAAACACTAACAGTAATGAAGAAATCGATACGTTTTTCTTCACCTCTATCTATTATACATAACTCCTCCTTATCTCATAAAATTCCTAGTGGAAAAAATGGGATTCTTTCTGAAGATGTTCTGCTTTCAGCAGGGGCTGAAATCCTGTTTTCTCAATTGTAATGAAACAGTTTTAGAGTGTTGCTGTTTAACAGTTCTTGAGTGTTTCAGTTGCTTTTCATGTTGAGGTTTGAGGTTTTATGTATATAGATACATACACACACACACTTCCTAGAGCAGTACTTAATTCTCAATCCTCCCTTGTGAGTTTTTCAGATTGTATGGATTACATATTTAGGGAATGGCTTGTTGTAGCTCTTCTAGGTTGTCCATACTGCCTCTTACAATCTCTTCCCTCTCTAAGTCTCCATTCTTATGCCTCTTTTAGGAGAAGCAGCATATTCCCCTCTTCCTGAAATATTTCATTTTAAAATCTGTCAAAGGATGATGGAGTGGTGCTCAGTTACGAGTAACTATTGTTTTCCTCTTCTCATTTCACTTAGATTTTTTTTAACTCATTTGTTGGGAGGATGTAGGTTTGTTGTTGTTTTATTCTTTTTTTTTAAACTGATTTTACTGTAAAATTTCATCTTTATTTTTCCTCCTAAAGCCATACAGCGTGTATCCATCTCACTAATTAAAGCTTTTCTGTCCTTCTGTTTATTAGGGAAAGGTCCTTAATTACACTATCGATTGAATTTTGCATGACTGTTTTGTACTCTTACTTTCATGTAGATTAGACCTTAGCAATGTTGAAAAATAGAATTTGTCTAAACCAACCTGATAGATCTTTGGCAAAAGGATGTTGGTTGTTGTACACTTGAAGTGACAGGAAGTGACCACAGGTCTTCCATTCCTTCTAAGGAGAGCATCCGTCATACACAACAGTTCATCGATTCTTATTTCTATTGCAAAGATGGTACCCATTGCAATATATTAATTAGCCCGCTGCTACTGCAACTTGGTCCTACTGAGTGAAGCTGAAAGTGGTTGACAGTTCTGCACTCCAGAGGAAAATTAAAAAATGGGCCATGAATTCTCTTCAGGCATGGATAGCAAAGCCAAATCCAAAACTGTAAGGGGGCATCCTTGTGTCAATGTAATATCCCTTTTGTTGGTTATCACTGGGCTAAACTGAAATGTTGGAAAAGGGAGAGGAGTTTTCGGCATACACAAAACTAAGGGGAAGCCTTTGGTACACTAATATATGTCAGTTGCTGCTATTGCAGGTTTCAGAGAGCGAGGTATGAACGAGGAAAAGCAGATAAAAATTCTGTTCAACTACCATGCATAAAAATTGATCTTAAGTTATTACTGTCTTCTTCACGTTCATAGCATGGCCGGACCCCACTGCATCTTGCTGCCCACAAGGGTCATCTCCACGTTGTCCGGGTTTTGTTGAAGGCAGGTTGTGACCTGGATATTCAGGATGATGTAAGTAGATACAACCTTCTTGCTTGGGTGGAGGGGGAAAAGGTAATTTGCAAGTAGCAGTAGACTGTCACTTCTTTGAAGTAGGATGAAATGAAAACAAAATGTTTCTCCATTTTCTGATATGGAGATATAAAACTGCATGGGAGACAATGTAAAATAGACTGGTTTTCAGTGAATAGCTTGGTCCTCTTGCTCAAGCTGCTGAGCTTTATGAGAGCTCTGGTTGTGTCAGGCAGGTGTAAGTAGCAGTGAAAGTCATTATCTGTCACTTGGTGCAGGAGTGAAATAAGAGCTCACTGTACTCTGTGGGAACCCACTGGAGGACATCAGGCAGGAGACGTGATCTGTTGTGATGTTTGCTTGAAGTAGAAGATGCTTTTGTATAGACACATACTGCAGCAAATAGAGTATTGAGCAGTTGCCTGGAGCACTGTGCAGTGTCACAGGGAAATCATCCTGTTGGCAGCTGTGCTCGACGTGGGGATGGTCAAATCTGTGAGGCTGTTGTGTGGTGAAGCAGCAGCACAATGAAAACAGCTTTGAATTTAGCAAATGGTAGTTTGTCTTCATTTGGTAAAATATGTAAGTTATTGGAATTTCTCAGTTTTCTGTAAGTATAGTTTTGATCTTGGACGAGGCTTAAAGGCACATTGGAGTGACTAGTAACACAGTTTTAGTTACCTCACTGTGATGAACAAAGGTGTAGGCTGAAATGCACAACATCAGTTGAATAACCACGAAACCATGACTTCTTCAGACTCATTGCTAACTTCTCATAGTATGCTGGAACAACTTTGAGGAAGGGTTGCTTTTGTTCCCCCTGTAATAAGTAAGATGCAGAGTCTTCAAAGGACCTAGAGGTCCAAAGGTGGTTTGTAGAAGCACTTGTATGGCTACTAAAAATACAGTAGAAATGTCTAGGTGCCTTTTGAAAATCCCCTTAGGCATTTATTTGCATCTAGAGAGTCTTAAATGTCTGTAGAAATTGTAAGACTGGTTTCCTTCTCTGCCTGAGTAGCTTCCCTGTGAGATGGGAGCAGTCTTTCTGACAAGCTTAGGACTGGGGTACGGGTGCAGCCAGCTTGCTACTGGGAATCTTGTTTTTCTAGGAAGAAACTTTGCTTCCTGTGCTCTTTATTCTTTCCCTATGCCCATCTGTGAAATGGAGCAGATTTGCAAGTGTAATGTGAGTATCAGTTTATACAGATGTATCCTGAGTATGTTTTTTGACTTCTCCCTGCAAAAATGATTCATCAGGTATTTAGGAGAAATTGCAGGTAGTTTACAAGTACTGTCAGAGAAAAGCAAGCTGCTGCTCTAAGAATGGAAGAGCTTCCACCAATTTGGTCAAATTGGATTTCTGTGAAAACTATTTTTTGAGTAAGTCTGGGTTTTTTGTAATCCTCTAGTAATAAGATCTAGGCTGTTTATATGTAAATGTGATGGCCATAATGGAGAAACAGTAAATCAGTGTATAGCATCATTTTGGTTTAGCAGAGTCTTGCACTGGAGAAGTACATAGCTTGTAGAAGCCCTATTTCACTTGCCTTGCAAGCTTTGCAGAGGCTTTGTTCATAGCAACTGCATACCGCTTCTAAATGTGGTGACTAATCTGAACAGAATAGATGCATGCTTGATTCACAGATGCTGTTTCTTTAAAATGTATTTAGATTTTAGCTCTGTATTTTGTGCTAGTAATTTGGTTGGGGTTGAGGAGAGCCTCAGGAGTTGCAGAGTCTCAGTGCGTGTGGATTTGTCTTAGAGGAAGGGGAATGCTAAAACTTCAAGTGAAGATTTTTGCTTGTGAAAGGTATTAACTAAAATATTTCTGCTTTCCTTTTACATAGGTCTTCAAAAAGGTTCTATATTTTTTGTTTAAACTCGTAAAAATAATTTTTACTCTTTATTTATGCCCCACAGAATATATCTGTATTCTATTTTAGTTGACATCTGTTGATGATGCCTTTGGTCCCTTTTACTGTGTGCTTATTTGGCAGTGAGGGCATCTTAGTTTCAATGTTGATTAACATCTATATGTTTAATTGCTGTTTTTCAGGAATACAGATTTAGGTTCAAAGATTAACTCGTAAGAGTGGGGGGTATCATATTTAATTGAAAAGTACATTACTTAGTTGATTTTTGTCTGTGGCATTGTTGTGATAACATCTCCAGTTTCTAAAATGCTGATTTAGATTTTATTTTTCTAAATAACAAGAGAAACGTAAGCACATTTTGTGTTGGAGTTGACTCTCTGGCTAATGAATGAATGCAAGACTAACTTTTAATCTGCCACATGATAAGCAGAAACGTGTTGGAAGTTGCTACCTGTTGTGGAGAGATTAAAACACTCACTTCATGTTCTACAGATAAATTCTTTAACCCACGGTAAGAGCCGTAAGAATTAGTTGAAGAATGACCTCCAGTGGCCTGGAGTGGGATTATTATGAATTTCAGCCGGTGGAGTCCAGCTCTGTAGAGTACGCCACCCCGGGAGCTAACTCCTTCCTTCTCCCTGCCAATACTGAAAAGTCTTACTGGGATCCCAATGCTATCTCTGAATGGTCAATGAGCATCCACACAGCACACACCTCAGAAATAGTCAAGGAGAAGGTTGTGCCGGTGAAGGAAATCAAGGATGAAAAAGATAAGAAAAACCAGAAGAGAAAGGCTAGGAAAGAACCTAGAAGATCAGAAAGAGAGAAGGAGGTTAGAAACCTTGTACATCAACCCTGCCTTGAGCTTGATGTCTCGCTTGTCTGCATGCTGCAAAACCTTGGCCCGATGGTCTGGCATGGCTGAGCTCTTCTGTGGTGCATGACTGCATGGCAGGCTTTGTGCTGGGTGCTCTACAGCAGGTCTCCTGCCCTCTATGTGCTCTCTGGGAAAACAAGTTGATTTAAAATACAGGCCTGAGGCCCCGAAACTTCCTTTCTGGAAGCTCCAGTTTAAGAAGCAGAAAATGAATTTCACATGGAACAGGAACCCGTGGTTCATAATGGTTTCTAGCTGAATATAAGTATGCAGAGTGGCTTATTCCTGTACTCCCGTTCCAGTCCATTCAAGCTGTAATCTGTTTCATTTGTAATTTTTTTTTCATGCCTTGATCACTTCTGCTGGTCATGCATCATCATTGATCATTCAGAGTGAAGTAGTTCTTACTGTGTGTCATGATGACTGCTTTTCTTCAGCAGAGGAGGAGGAGAGCAGCGCAGTGACGCTGGGGAACACTAGAGCACATGATTCAATTGTCTTTGTGTCAGCTGCTTCAAAACGCCCATGTATGCTTGGATGCTCCTGAGAGGATTTAATGCTTGGCTGTATTTTGAACTTTCCAACATGAATTTAGTGGTTTGATTTCATAGTATAAGACTTTGCAAGTGCCATCGAGCACTTTGTACTGGGGATTGAAGGCATGAGTTTTGGCTGGTTATTTTGGTGCAATTCTCCTGTAGCAAGACAGGTTTTTCTTAGATTTCTGCAAACATGCAAAGACAATGAGGAGGCAAAGTGTGACCCTGGAGAGGGGCTTTAAAGGAGATGGTACAATTGATGGATGTTCTGCAGAATAGGAGTGTGTAGGAAAACGAAATATAGTGGTTATAGTTTTGGGTTTGTTTTTTGTTTTAAATCAGAGGAAGAGGTAATATGTATTACAAACTGGTGTAAACCAAATCTCATCAGATTTGGACAGTAGAGTCTATAATAGAGACTCCAATACCCAGGATTGATGGCAGAAAGTGGAACAGCTCCCTGAAACCCCTTTGTAAGTTGTGTTATTTCCCTTCCCTTGGGGTGAACTTCAGATGTAAAATAGATGCCTACCCAGTTCCCCGGAGCCTGGTCGCAGTGGTTGTATCCACTGCTTTAATTTAGTCAGTAAATGAGGAAACTCGAGGAGGTAATTGCAAACACCAGGACACTGAGCAAGCACCCCCAGCCTAACCAACACAGAGCTGCTACAGTAAAGGGTAGCTCCATAGTCAGTGGAGGTCAGGATCCATGTATCTGCCTTTCTTCAGGAGCCCCAGCTTGTAACCCTCCCTTGAAAGCAGGTGTTTAAGCTCTCTGTACAAAGCACGGTTTCACACTTTGGAAACGTACTTGCTGATGCTGGGCCTTGCTGTGCAATAGACCCGTTATAGGTAGAGCTGTCAGGATGTGCAGTCACACATCCTATGCAGCAGAGAATGCAGACTCCTATCCCAATCTTCCAGCATCTCCCTCTCTCTAGCCCAGTGAATACCAACATATTTCTTAAAAGTGGAGCTCTTCTGACACAGCAGTGCTTTCATGGCAAGTCAAGCTGGGTGAGTACCATAACCTCTGGGTGCAGTGACCTGTGCGAGCCAAGACATCTGTGGTGTTGAAGGGAAAATGCTGGAGTTTGAGTTGCTTTCAGGGCTAGGAAGGGGATTCAGGATGCACCAGTGAAGACTTAAGTGCCTTACTTCTACCAAACTTCGCTTAAGCACCTAAGTGTCTTTTTTGGCTTCAGGCCACACCTGCATTTAGTCAGGCTGTTGTATCTATCAAGGTCACATTTGTGTGCCACAGCAGAGGTGTTATCTCTCTCCATTGCTACTGAGCTGCTCTCTGTTCCTAAGGAATAAATAACCTACAAATAGCATCATAAATTGTGCCCAACATAATAGTCTGGGCAGTTAATACACGGTTACTGGTGTAATTACACTCTGAGCCTCTGCAGCAGCCCCTAATGCCTTGCTAAAGGTAGAACTCCGATGAGTGCTTTCAGAGACAGTTATTTTAGCAGTTAATAAAAAGAGTCAGTGATTGCACTGTCTGAAAATTCACACTGTGAAAAATGTCATTGGTTTTCTCTGACTCCATAAGCAACAAGACTGGGGTTTGCTCCTCTGCTGCAGGGGAGGCAAGGCAGGTTAGAAACACAATGGAGCCGGTGGGGTTATTTATAGGTGGGCTATGCTGTCTGTGGCTGAGTGCTCAGTGACTCACACACACAGGCCATCACGGTCTGGTGGCTCAGCTTCCATGGCACCTTAAGCAGTTTAAGGTTCTTGTGTGTGATGAGGTCCAAGGGAATGGTTCACCAGTTCCTGCCCTGCTGGCTGAAGGGCCTGAGGGTGGTAGGGACCTTCTCCAGGACATTGATAACTGCCATGTCTTCATGGGGAGGAGCCTTGCAGCAGGTGAGGCAGAGTTTGAGATGCCCTTTGACACTCCTTGTTACTTCGATGAGGTATTTATTTAGCTGGTCAGGGTGCTGGTTGGATCTTATTCTTAAATGCTTGGCTTTCACTGTACTTGCATAAAGAGGATGTCAGCACCAATGCTCACACCTTGGTCAGGAAGCCCCTGAGCCTGCCATTCGTGGGAGTTGTTTCCCTTCACCTTCGATCTGTGGGACTTGTTTCCCTTCACCTGCCTGAGCTTCCATTCTGGGGACCAGAATATAGTATGAGACAAAGCCTGGGCATGGCTGAAGCTGTCCCTGTGTTGCTCTGCAGTCCCAGTGAGTGGTCCTCCAGCACATGAGCAAGGCTCCGATAAGGAGCAGTGAGGTGTGCTTCCTGCTTTCCAAATATGTGCTTTTTTTTAGTTTAACTGAGGTGCCGTTAGACGTAGCTGTTGTATTGACAAACCCCAAAAAGCTGAATGGCCTTTGACTGCAATGCAGTTACTGTGATGAGGTTCTTGTTAGCCTTTAAACTAGCCCAGCAAGAAGTCCCTTAATTATAAACTAAATCCAGTACAGTCTGTTCCTGCCTCTAGTTTGGTTTTCTCCACAGTCAATTTTCCTGACTCTAAAGAAGTAGGAACCAACCGTTCACTGTTCAGGCTCTATCCATCACATTGGCAGATGTCATCTTGTTTTAGTCTTTATTATAATATTTTCTGGAGGTTTGCTGGTGCAGCAATACCAGTTGGCAGGGATAGGTTGATGGATTACTTTCCACTTCGTGGTAGTCAGCTAAAATGACCTTTGCACTGTCCACATTACCCATTGCTGCAGTAGCTACTGTCATCGGTACCATGTATTAGCAAAAAAAGGTTATAAGTACTTTCCCAGCTTGTTAGCAAGCAGATTTCTGTGTAGGAATAGTTACTGGAAACTGGCACTTGCACTTATGAGATGGTATATTTTGGACATTTTCCATAACGTGTTGGTTAGCTTTAAATGTGGAACAGATACACAGGTTCAGAGAACTTGCAGTGTTGTCAATTTTCCAATACTTTGTATTTGTCTGAAAGTCCCAGTTCCTGTGACATTTACTGTCTTTGTTTGAAATCTCTTAAAACACATTTCCTGTCTTAATAGGGGCAAGAACAAAAATAAGAGTCTGTGACCTCTAGAGACAACACGGACATAGCAAATTTAAACAAAAATCCTTCAACACAATTTTTTAAAAGCAACTTCATGATTATAAGCCAATTTAATGGTTTACTGGGGGGAGGGGGTTGGCATTTGAGGGGTTACTGAAAGGTTGTGGTTGGCAATGCTAATTTTCCTTTATGGATTAATAACTATTTGCTGTCATTAGCACAAAAGAAACCCACCAAGAGCGATTTTAAAGTCAGCTGTTAATTGCCTTTGAGAACAAATTATTCAAATTATCCAGTTAAGATGTGCAGACTGTAGGACAGAAAATACAGAAATTTCTCTAGTTTTAGTATTCAGTATAATGTGGCGTCATCTGATAAAGATTTGTAGCAGAGAACTTTTGAACCTATTTAGGGCTAGCTTCCTGCAAGCTTTTCTTCCTCAGGATACACTGCATATCTCTGCCCTCTGTGGGTTTTGGTGAGCATTATCTAGATCAGCAGAAGAGGATTGAATTCATACTCTGTTTATTCATCCCCAAAAAAGGGGGATGTGTGCAGCTTTGAAGCTAAGTCTTTGTGCCTGGACTCAGGCTGTGCTTCAGCATTGGAGGTTCAAAGTATCTTCAAGGGAAAGCCAAGGCTGGTTGTTGTGGCAGCAGTGGAGCTACCGCAGCTCATTTTCCCACTGGTCGGTGTCTTACATGCTGCTGCATAAATCTTCTATTCCCTCTCTTTTATCATGGTCTCACCAACATGCGCATAAAAATATATGGATAACCCCATATAGGTAGGGCCAGTAGTTCATGTCTCTTCAGTCTTCAGGTTCTGGAATTCTTGTAGAAGATTAATCTTGGGCTCTATAGCTCAGCGAATGAGTTCAGCAGTTGTTAGGGGCACAATAGGTGGGCAGTCAAACAAGATGACTGCATCAGCATCACTTCTTTTGGGAGCTTGGCCATAAAGGAAATAAACCAATGTAAGAAGCTTTCTTGTTGCTGTTATGTGGCCAGTCAATGAGAAATGAAAGTCATTTGGACCTCAAGATGCTCAGTTGCTTGAAGCTGATGGGTCTTGCAGTTGTGGTCTTCATCATAAAATTGCCTCAACTCTTAGCCCTAATTAGTAAACTCATCAGAGGTGCTAAAGCAACCACTCTCATCTCATGCTCCTTATCCTAAGCAGGGCTAATGGAGCAGTCAGAGCCAAAACAGGAGAGCCTCATCCAGTTAGTGAAAGTACTGGAGAATCATTATGATGAGTTACGGCAGCCTGCAATTCCCTTTAGTTCCGTACAGATACTGTTGATTATTAGACACGTTGTGCCAAATGTGTTAGATTCAGTGCCTTCTAATACTACCATGGTTTTAGTGCCTTTCAAACCTGTATATGGGATTGTGATGACTTGCAAACTTCTCTAAGCAGTTGGTTTGTAGTTCTCTAATACTTTCAATAAATTCATTAATCTTAGAAACTTTAATGACAGTTGTTTACAAGGACTATTTTCAAAGGCAGCTTGAGTTGAAACACAACCTGTGTTGAAGATGCAGCCCCTGTGTGTGTTGTATGGGTTTGCATTGAGTCAGAATGAGGTGGGAATGGTACTGATCACAAACTTGTTTCTTTTGCAGGGTGATCAGACAGCATTGCACCGGGCTGCTGTTGTAGGGAACACCGATGTTATAGCAACTCTGATTCAAGAGGGGTGTGCTTTGGACAGACAAGACAAGGTAACGGGTGAAAGCAAAGCCCTGTAGGATGGCAGCTTTGCCAGCCAGTAAGACTAAGGTCTCAGAAACAAAGTTAAGGTTTATACTCCTGAGTAAGTATCTGATGCTTTGAAAGTAATTGGAACAGTTACACTGGAAAAACACTGTTCCATCTTTTCAATATGAATTACTGATTCAGTTATTTTTTTTTATAACAGGCTGATGGGGCTTTGAGCAACCTGGTCTAGTGGAAGGTGTCCCTGCCCATGGCAGGGGAGTTGGAACTGGATGAGCTTTAAGGTCCCTTCCAACCCAAACTGTTCTATGATTCTATGGTAGTTTTTAGTTTAAGAGTCTGTTCTTAGCTCCTTAAGGGAGAAATTAATGTACAACCATACTGTGCCCTACTTAAACACTGCACAGTTTCCTTTGACTATCCTAGAAACCAACAATCCCAGGCTGTAAATTTAGTTGTGGAGTAAATATAACTAATTCCAAGATTCAAATGAAAGAAACAATATTTTTACCCTCTTGTAAAAATGAAACAGAAAATAAACTGGTACGAAAGGAAAATGGTTTTATTTGTAAAGAGAGCAGCGGGGTGTGCAGCTGCTGAGCTCTAAATGTAACGTTACTCTGCGTGTGGTGGACACAGGACGCTAACCTTCTCCTTGTGTGTGTGCTCTGCAGGATGGGAACACTGCTCTTCACGAAGCTTGTTGGCATGGATTCAGTCAGTCTGCCAAAGTGCTCGTTAAAGCAGGAGCCAACGTTCTTGCCAAGAACAAGGTGAGACCCATGCGGGAGGAGCTTTCAGTTCTAGTGTATGGTGGCTGATGCTCAGCCCTGGCAATGTGTGGCCATGGCATTTCTCAGTAGGTGGGGACCTACTGAGTGGGATTCTTTTTCTTCTTTTTTTGCATTTATTATGCCTGGATGGTTCCTCCACAGGCATTGGGGAGTTCGTATTTTGACAGCTGAGGCAGAGGGAACTCAATAGCACATTGAATGATACATTAATTACAGCTGAGGAATGCTGCAATTCCTGTGGAAGTCTCCATGGTGTTTTAATTTATACCAAGCGTAGTCATTGTGCTTGGTGTGATTTAAAATGAAAATGAATTGTCCTAATAGGAAAATGGCTTTCAAAAGCCAGTATGTTTTTTGGAAATCAAACAGCCAAAGGAATGTAAGCCACATAGGGGAAAAAATAGTATATCTTTTGTTAGAAAGTTCTTCCTAATATAATAGTGTAGACTCTTACCAAAATCCTGTAATGAACCCGGATTATGTTCCTTTTAGTATTCATGATACCTTGAGAGCAGTTTAGAGGAAAGAAGGACAGAGCCAAGGGGCTTTAGTTCCACTCTAATTGTAAAACCTGTGGAGACTTCAGTAATTCAGAAATTCATGGAAATGGCAGTAGCAGCCTGTGGTGTCAGCTGAGCTGGCGTTTGGACGACTGTGCCAGTAGGCCAGTCAGATTGCATGGTTGGCGCCATGTCCTTCGTTGCAGGTGAGAGGGCTTTGGCCTGACTGTATGGGAACTCTAAGCATGTCTTGGTAAATGAAACAACAACTGAGAGTGGCTAGTGAAGAAAGGACAGAGCTGGTCAAAGTCTATGAGTAAAAAGGCACGTTGCCTGGGCACGGTGTTTCTGTATGTGCACATGTATACGTACAATCATGGTCACTCTGTGGTCCATAATTACATGATCTGTGATACTGTTTTATATGTATTCCTTCTTTTATATTGTTCCAATTTCAATTTTTCTTTGTGGAATTGTTTTTGTGGTAATGTTCACCTAGATTTGTATCAAAGGTACTTTAGGAACTTCCCATGCTTGACTTTATTATGCTCCCATCTCTCAATACCTTTGTCTATGTATATATGTACATGTCTCTGCAAAGTGCGGGTTTAAGATGCAAGTCTGGTTATTGGGCATGCTTGGGTGCCTCCGGGTAGCAGAAGACTTAGCTTGTAGTACAGCCTATGTCAACTGGGGACAACGTGTCTTGGAAAGCACGTGCACAGAATAGCTCAGCAGGGTTGATGTCTGAAGTATGACTGGCAGACTAACACTGCATGACCAGCTCCTGTGCTGGTCTTTCATGTCTCACCCATAGGGTAAGACATCCTCTCCCTTTGCATTTCACTGTTTGGGTGTTTTTTAATATACAGGATCTATTCTCAGGAGCTGCTGAAAAATGCAGGAATCGTGCATGCTTGCACACATGCTCGTGCTTCTACCTCTTTTGATTTCAAGGCAGATGAAGAGTTTTACTCTGTCTAATCCCAGAATGTTTTCTCTGGTCTCTCAAATTCTTATGTTATTGATGACTACACAGAAACTTTCAGACACCAGGGCTGAGTGCCATAGGCAGGATCACGCTATACACAGGCTGTTGACTTAAACCTGAGCATCATGCCATTTTTGGCTGGCTGGGACAGATACAGGCTGTTAGACTTGTCAAACGCTGCTAAGCAGCAGGAGGTGGGAGGGATTTGAGACTGTATATTCTGTAACTCCTGGTTGATACGTCCTGGGAACACTTGTACAGATGCACTTCTTGCAGCACAGCACCTTGACCACAGTGTATGTAAGGACGATGCAATTGAAGATGACTCCCATCTTCAGTTGCCTGGCTGGCCTCTGCCTTGAAGTGAAATGCAGAGGCCTGACAGAACACCTAGGACTTTAAAGGCAAGTTTTAAAAGCATTTCAAGCAGGCATTTGAAGAAGGGACAACGCATAGGGAATGCACCTGGGTAGCCGTATTCCTCCTGTACAGCAGTCACCCTGGAGATGCGGTTTACTTTCAGTCAAGTTGGCTTAATGAAACTCTTCTGCTGTGGTAGATCATCCTGTTAGATCAGTTGTAGCCTTCTTTGTAGATCCTCCATCAGTCTGCATGTTCTAGTGAAGATTCAGTAGACCAGTGAAGACCTTCAGACTGGTACGACTTGGATCCACTCTCCCTCTCAAGGAAGCTGAGGAGAGCCTCTTCTGTGAGCCCTGTCCCCAGGCACCAGAACCATGACTTCTCCCAGCTTAGAACTCCTTGCCCTCAGCAACTGTACAGGACCTTTCTGCTTTCCCACCATGGCTGACCTTCTAAACACCACATGATAAAGGCATTGCAGAGGCAGTAAACCCAGGAGGGAAATAATTGACACTTAAATGCAATTTAGCTGAGAAAGAAAATGTCCATGTCTGCCACAGCTTAGAGAAACGGTCTGTAATGCGGAACTGAAGACCTAAGGATTGGCTGTTTGTAATTCAAACCCTGCAGCTTTGATCTGTGTCTTGAAAGCATGGGGAACAAGTTAAAGGACATAATCAAAGTGAACAGGCAGCATAGTAAGCATGGGAAAACTAGTCACCTGAGCTGATTTTTTTTCTAGTTCCCAGGAGCCAAAAATCCCAAGCAATTTCAAGCCAACAAAAGCCAAATGCTGCCAGAAAAACTTGTCAGACTGATAAAATGCTTCACAGTGCTAGAAAGACAATAGACAAGCAACCTCTTCTTTCATTTCTGTCCGTAAAAGCTGCATGTTTGCTCCTTTCAGGAATCTTAGCATGTGATTGTCTGGGGTTTGGGTGGCTTTTTTTTTTTAACCTTCTCATGCTGGATGGAGACTGGTGTGTTTTCTGAACATTGGAGCTTCCCGATGATAGCCTAAAATCTGCATCCTGACATGTGAGACCCCCTGGAAACTGCCTTTATTATATCCCAGATAAATAATTCACAGGATGAAGAGGGTATTTCTGTCTCCAAGTTCATTCAGTTCATATCTTTGGGAAAATAACAGCACCATTATCCTCTTCCTGGTGGGATCTTCTTGTGGGAAGAGCTGTGAGGGTTTTTTTTAATGCTCGTGTCCAATTTCTAACCACGACTTTTATATTTTCCTGTGTTTCTCTAAGGCAGGTAACACCCCTCTTCACCTGGCTTGCCAGAACAGCCATTCCCAGAGCACTCGTGTTTTATTACTTGGAGGATCTCGAGCAGACCTCAAAAACAACGTGAGTTTTGAAACGAACGTGCTCATTTTTGTGTGCCTTTGTTTTAGCTGTTACTTTAACTTTCGGGAATACTCAAATACTTTCAGCTGTGGTTTTTGCTATAAATGCTATTGAAAAATGCCACTAACAAACCATTGTATACATCCTGTGCAGGAATGGTTCTCATAGGACTGAACAATGTACTACTTGTATCCGTCTCTTGAGTGGGGATGGAAGGAGTTATAGGGGGTTTTGCTGTTGCACAGACTGAGACAGCTGGTCCTTCCCTGCTTTTCGAGGTCCTGATGGTCTGACTCATACACTGTTGTGCAGTTCTGCAGAAGGGTTCTTCTTTCAGAAAGATGAAAGACTTAAAAGGGTTTTTATGCCAGACTGGTGAAAGTCTTCAGACCTGCCCCCATTGAGACAGATCATGTGTACTGTGTGTCGATCTGTCATGACGTAGGTAGAAGGTGACTTCAGTTTCAGACAGCTTTCCTCCTATTTTATAATGAGAAGGAAGCCAGATGTTTTTGTCCCTTGCTTGATAGCAAGGTGGGCAGAGGCACACAAAGTGAAACCCATGGGGCTCTGCTCCCAGTGCCAGCTGCACATGTGCCACCCCTCCTGGGGATGCTGCTCTGTCCCCCGCTCCCATATTTATTCATTATGTGCAGCACCATTGAGTGTCCAGACCACATTGGTTTGTGGTTCAGAAGAACAGATTTAATGTAAAAATGTAGATCAGGTTTTGTAGTGCAGGAAAGCAGCATTTTGTGATCCCAGTATTTCCCACCAGTGGTTAAAGAATTTCTACACCAGCTTGCCTGGCCCCAGCTCTTGCTAAATCACACACACACACACACACACACCCACTGCGATAGCAGGCTTTGTTCTGCAGAGGAGACAGCACTGCTGTTCAGTGGAGGTGTGTGGCACTTGCTGCTCTCTTTGGTTTAATAGGATTGTTTCATCCTTGAATGCCTTGACAAGTGCAAGCTTTACTACTGCGATTACATGCTCAGAGCTTTGTTTCTGTTTGCAGGCAGGAGATACCTGTCTGCATGTGGCTGCTCGTTATAATCACTTGCCCATCATTAGGGTGCTACTCAGTGCTTTCTGTTCTGTCCATGAAAAGAACCAGGTCAGTGCATGAACCTCATTGTGACTTTGTGCCCTTTGCATATGCCTAGTTGTTGGGAAGAGGGATTCCTACCCAAGTGATCCCACTTCACTCTGTGTTTCACTGTACCACCAAATGCTTTTAAGAACAGCCTTAAAGTAATAGCATAAAAGTGGTTTATTATTTTGCCATCACATTTGCATCATTTCTTTAAAGCATTGCCTATTTATGAGGTTCTGCAATCATATGTTGGTAATAGGAAGGGGGTCTGGGACGGTAGCGGCATGAGGTTAGGAGTTGGCGCACTTGGGGCCTTATCAGTTCTTAGCAGAATGGGATTGGGCAAGAGACTTGGTTGTTTTATGGGGGCCCATTTTCTCCTCTGTAACTAGGATTTAATGATCCTGTGGCCATTACAGAGACATTGTAAAGCAGAACTCACTAATATTCAGATACTACAAAAGTGCAAATTCCTCTGAATAATTTTCTTTGCTGCATTTGCAGCATGGGGAATTGAAATAACATAAAAGTGAAGAAAAAATATGCTTTAAATTCAAAGTAATGGTCAGTCTAACCTAGGATTAATCATCCATAGCTGTTTATAGAGAAGTGATTGATTTTATACCTATAGCATAGCCTAATTGTGTGGTAGAAGGGAATGGATTTAGTACATTAAGATGTATTAAATCTGCTAAATAAATAGTTTATGTGGTGCTTAACCGCATCGTCTCACGCTCCTGGGAAACTTTCCATGTGTGGTTGAGCATCATAAAGATGTTTTCTGATGTGTACATTTAATCTTGTTTCTCAGATATGAGCTATTACACCAAACAAAAAGGGTTTCAGTATGTTGAATTTACTGTGTAATTTTATTTGGAAATGAGCCTTTAAACTTGCAAAATGAGCTACTGAATATTAAGATTAACCGGTGTGAACCTGGCCCAGAGAGACACCCCTTCCCTCCATTCCCCAGCACTACCCAAAGTTGTTCCATATTTGCACATATAATTATTTTATTTATGAATACACCTCACCCAGGTTAGTGACAAGCAGCAGACATCCACTAGTCTCAAGAAGATGTAGTTTTCTGAAGGCAGAATGCAAGGCAGAGGAGACAGGAAGGCATTACATCCACGTGTCCCGTCTCCTTTGAACAGCTGCTGTGTTAGTGGTGCCCGAATCTGATCACAGCTGTCTTCACCTGTCTGTACTGGGACAAGGGCAGGGCAGTGTGTTATGCAGGACCTGGATCGCTCCTGGCTTTCATCCAAACCCTGTTTTTCTTGAGGAATCTCCTGAAGGGAACACCAGCCACCACACTGCTTGTACCTACCTGGCTGGTTTTGAGTAACGTGAGAGTTGACCATCTGTGCACCAAATAATCAAACCCGGAAAAAAGAGAAGGATGTGGTAGGAAAACCGGTTCTGCCCTCTGATGTCTTATCCATTTGCTGGTGGTAGAGCTGGGCTGCCTCCCAGCTGCATTGTGTATCACTTGTTTCAGTTAAACCAGATCACCAGCACCCCAGCTGCGTTTCTCAAAACCAGGCTGAAGCAGGTCCTTGCCCTGAAGTAGTTTCTGCCCCTTCCTGTCCCCTTCCTCCTAATTCTATTTTTCTTACTGAACAGGCCTTATTTCAGCTCAATGAGTGCAGGTCTCTTGAGCTCTGAGCCTCTTTTAGGGAGGTGTGATTTCTGCAGGGTGAGACCCAAGGACGCGTGTTACACCGTTGTTCTTTGCTTTCTGACTTGCAGGCAGGGGATACTGCGCTCCATGTAGCTGCTGCTCTCAATCACAGGAAGGTGGTTAAGCTGTTGCTGGAGGCAGGGGCTGACACATCCGTTGTCAACAATGTAAGCAGCACAGAGTTTTGTTGGTAACTTATATTAATGCAGACTCCCTTCAACGCTCTTTGTAGCGCTGGTAGAAAGTAATTTGGGTGTTAGAGCTGAATTAAATTGGGGTAAATGAAAGCAGTTAGTTAACTTCACTCTTGTGCACAGAGCATGTACTAACTTTGGGTGGAGAAATCCCACATTTCCAGGGGCTTCTGTTTGGAAGGAAATGCCATTTTCTTTTTCCTCTCAGGCAGGTCAGACCCCTCTAGAGGTTGCCAGACAGCACAATAACCCTGAGGTTGCACTCCTCCTCACTAAATCATCACAGGTACGTTACAGATCTTCCCCAGTACACACATACACTTGGAGCTGAGTCCAGTTAACCTTGAGAAGTCACATCCTCTTCTGCTGTGAAAGGTGCCTGTGTTTCTGCTGGCACTGTGTGCTGGCCTCGGGTATGTTGATGTGGAGCTTTTCAGCCCCCAAGGCCAGCAAGGTGTGCAGATTAAGCCTCCACAGCATTAAGCGCTGTCAGAGATCCCACTGGCCTGACTGGCAGAGGATGGAGCAGCCAGAGGCACTTGTTTGCCATTGCGGCCCAGGGGTTAGAAAGCTGCCCTGTACCCTAAAGTTCCTGGGTTGTGTTGCTCTGCTGCCTGCTTCAGGCATCTCTCATCCTTGTTGCACTGGAAGATGCTTAGAAATGGGGACAAAATGTCCTGTTTGTACTGTGCTGCTGCATGTGAAATGCTGCAATGCTCTTCGGGTCAGAAGGCACATGGTAGGACTCTCTATTCTGATATGAGACAAAGTGCGGTTGCTGCCCTGCTCCTCTTTGTTACCTCTGAGTGAAAAGGGCTGGGCTTGGCTTGGCAACCAGCTGGAGGACACAGGAGGTGCTTACCTCTCCAGGGAACTGCAGTGTCCTTACAGACTTGCCTTAGTGGTGGTGTGTTTTCACAGCTATTGGCACCCATGGTGCTTGGTCCATCAGTGTTCATCTGGCAACACATTCTCCTTTATCCATTGCCTTTCAGACAGAGGTGAAAAGGGTATTACTCTATTACTTGGCTTCTGTGGTAAGAAAGAGCATGACATCACTGAGTAACAGTGTGGTCTGTCTTCAGGTCTCACGCTTTAACCGTGGAAGAAGCCTGAGGAAGAAGAGAGAGCGACTGAAGGAGGAAAGGCGAGCTCAGTCAGTACCACGAGATGAAGTGGTACAGAGCAAGGTATAGCCCTACGTTACCAGCTGCGTCTTCTGTGAGGGGGGATTGTAAATCCCATCAGGACCAAAGCTCGTTGGAGCCATCACTTGTGCATGAACACAGCAGCTGTCTGAGGCAGTCTGTGGTGCTGTGCAGCTAAAGGGTTGCTCACTCACGTGTGCAGAGCAGCTTAAAACTGGGCAACTGAAGAAAAGGCACCTTTTCTCCATCTATGCAAACACTCTGAATTCCCTGTCTTTGCTTCAAGCAGGGTAGCATCTCAGCTGCTGATGACACACCGAGCAGTGACCAGCCACCACAGAAGAAGAGTGATCTGAAGGATGAACCCCAGTCAACCTCACCTGATCTCAAAGGGAAAAAGAGTAAAAAGAAAAAGCCAAAGGAAAAGGTATGAGTAGGTTTAAAACAGCAGAGGGAAGGGATAATTGTTGAGCAATAGTTCTGTTGTCCCATGTGTTGGTGAGTCAGGGCAGCAGGCCTGCCATGCTCATGGGCAGAGGTAGTAGTCTTCAGACAGAAACAGATTGTGTAATTGTCACGATGGGTTTGTCCTGTTCCCACCAGGAACAGTTCACCAGGGGGCTCATAAATGGGGCAAGCGTTGTATGTATTTCCTGCAGATCTTGGCACTCTCAGACCCCATCTCCCCAGCCGATCAGCAGACACTCCCTCGGGCCCAGCAAAACGTGCCTAAGCGCAGAAGTAAGCATCACTGCTTCTCTCCACCGCCTCCCCACGAGGTCCGAGCCTACCAGCTCTACACGCTTTACCGAGGGAAGGATGGGAAGGTGATGCAGGTGAGCTGGACGCTGCCCTCCTGAAGCGGGATGTCGGAAGCAGCGCTCGGGACACGGGTAGCTAACAGATAGAGAATGTGCTCAACTAACTGCATTCTGGGGGGTACGGAATCATGACTGTGGGTTTGTTTTCCTTGTTTGGGCTTCAGCAGCATGTTGGCCTGAAGTCTGATAAACAATAGTCTGGGTTTGTGTGTGTCAAAGAAGACATACTTCAATAGTTTTGATTTGCAGAGTATTTCCTTTTTGGAGATAGTGTGACCAGTGAGTGGAAACAACATTGGAACTTTGATGATGCACTTTGAAATACTGAGATGGCAAAGGCCTTTTCTAAGGAGAGTAACTGAGAACAGTGGGTGAGCACTGAAGCTCACTAAACCAAGACCTTAAGCACTTTTCTTTCTGTTTATTGCAATGCATCTTTAGGAATTCTAGGATTACTGGAGGCAGGAGCTATACAGAAATTGATTCACAAATAAATCTGGAGTTACCAGCTCCTGGGCATCTATTCCAGCTTAGAGCCTGACAGTCATTTTATTATGCAAATATTTAACAGTACACATTTATTTAAAAAAAGGCATGAAACCAGCAAATTCCCCTGTAGACACTGTAAGTGTCCATACTGTGTTCTTAATGTTGCCCTCCTGTACCTCTGGGATTTCAATCTTTCCATTTCCTTAGCTTCTTAGAGCCATCATCCAGCTCTCCTCCGTCCCTTGCTGTAGTTAAAAAATTCAGAGAGACTGAAGTTCTCTCAAGGCAGACTTCAGGAGGTTTTACCATCTCCCTATGTAATGCTTGGAAAATTTCCAGACAGGCACTGCAGGATCATCCTAAGAGAGAATATGAATTATATGTCCTAAGAGAGATTATGAAAGCTCCTACACCAGGAGCTTTCATATGTTGAATGGAGTATTTCCTTGCCCCTGGGATCTGATGGTAGGAGATGGGCTGGTAGGAGAGACTTGGGGAGCAGGAAGAAAGGTGCAGAGAGCAGATAGGATTTGTGCACAAATATAATCAATTCACAAAGATTAGCGTAATAGAGCTAGACACCCTTACATAGTATTTCTTGAAATAAATGACACAGCTCTGTCTCGTCTGTCATCTTTGATGTCCTCAGGCCCTGAAGAGCAGATTTTCTCGAGTACCTGTATTTCTGAAACTTTCTTTAGTGCTCAGCAAACCAATCACCTTCCCCTGCCAAGGGAATAACCCTCAATTTGTGAAACAGTACTGCAGGGCCAGAGGTGAGAGGGGGGGAGTCTCCTCTGTGGACAGATTCAGAGCAGCCGCTTTGGGCTCCTGACTTGCCTCTTGAAGGAGCAGATTCCAGCCTTCAGACTGCAGAGAAAGCCAAAGAGAATCAGCTGTCCTTGTGTAAGGGAGCCTTTTGAGACCATCTCCCTGAGAGATTTAAATGTGGTCATGCAGCTCCCCTTGCAGAAGCGCGTTGGGACTTGGGACAAGTGAGTCAAAGGCAGCGATGTGCACAGCAGGCAAGGGTCAGCTGAATGTCAGCAGGGTGAAGGCAGGCAGGAGCAGCGACACAGCACCAAAACAAACAGAAAGAGCGCATTATTGTCATTAGGTTAGAAAACAAATGCACACAAAACCACACATGTCCACAAAACCTTTTTTTTGGTACAGTTCAGAACTGCAGCATGTGATGTGGGATCCCTTTACACAGCACACAGTACTGTGGCGTACATGAGCTGAGCTCATCGCTGCTTGTAGCCCCAGCGAAATCAACACTGCTGTGTGTTAGGCTGTGCCCATATAAATCATATCAAGCCTTTTCTAGTCTGTACTTTTCCCACTAATAGCCTGTTTGCTGAGCTACTTTAAGATGTTATCAGGAGTTTGAGATACAGCACATGGTACAGAAGAGCCCATAACTGGACTGGGGAGGCTTTCCAAGTTCACCAAGAGGACAGTGGGATGTAGCAAGTTAATGTATGACTCTTTTCAGGCACCGATAAATGGATGTCGTTGTGAGCCCCTGATAAATAAACTGGAGAATCGGCTGGAGGCAACAGTGGAAGAAATAAAAGCTGAGTTTGGGACAGTACAAGATAAGATGAATATTAAGCTGGGCCAGATGGAAACCAAAACTCAACATCAAGTAAGACTATGACCTGGAGGTCTGCTTGCCCATATGAAAACATATCGTAAGCTTAATGAACATTTTTGTTGTCATGATTCACTTACTGCTTCTGTGTGGTAAAATGAACCTGAAATGTAATACTCTAGCCAGGGAACTGTGATATTCCACAGGGATCTAATGTTGAAAACTAGTCTTGCAAAACCCACATTTAATGTGTAAAGTGGCTTCTGGTGCTTTTTTAGACAATAAATCTAAACTGCTTGAGGCTGTAAGAGGGGAAATTTAAAGACAGAAGGCAGTCCTACAGCTCATCAGTTTATAATTGTAAAAATCCCTCTTGCTGAATTCTGCTTGCACTGAGATTCAAGATCCTCTAAATTATTTGTTGTTTTTAATGTAATTGTTATCCATCACTAATTCTGTGATTGAACCTTTTTGCAAGCTACATCTCATTGTCGTTGGCAGCAGTCCTAGAAATGAACACTGAAAGACAGACAGTACTTTGACTTACAAGGTTCACAGGTGGGGGGGAGGGTGGTTTGGTTTTTAACATGATCACCTCAGCTAAGTTACAGTGTGTTTCCCCCCACCCCAGCTCCGTGTTTTAGACAAGCTTATGGCTGAGCGGCTCTCGGCAGAGAGAACAGAGTGCCTTCACCGCCTGCAGCAGCACACCGAGCTGGAAAAGAAAGAGGGGGAGAAACAGCAGGTAGGGCTTGAACCAGCTACTCCCTGTTAGCTCAGATGGATCAGCTCAAGAGTTTCGCGCCAGCAGGCAGAGGGAATATTGGCAACTTCTCTGCAAAAACAGACAAAAGAGCTTCGAAGACCAAATTGTTCGCTGGTATCACCACCTTACTCTCTAAACCAACTTTATAAAGCTTTTGCATTAGAAATGGAGAGCGTGAAATCCAGTCTGTCTGTCATAATTTAATTTGGTGGTTCTGAAATATGGGATCTGTAACAAAATGTTCTTTTTTCCTAACAAACAAAGTACTTTGCAAAAATTCCTACTACTAAATTTTTAAGTTGTGCTTTCAGCTTTAGCTTCATTAAAGGATGTCCGTAGGAACATCTGCAAATGGTAACAAGACCAAGACCTGCAGTGTTCCTTTTAACAACCACATGGTTGTGCCTGAATCTCTCCCTTCTTCTCTATCTGATCTTTTTTCCCCTGTGCATTAAAAGGCTGAAGTTTTTGGCAACACTGGCAACACTGCACCATCTCCAAGCTGTATGCTACTGCCAGTAGGCAAGTTCTGTTTGTGTGCTTGTTTAATCAGCATGACAAGAATTAGCTGTTCCTGTAGAGAACCAGCTCTTGCCCTTCTAGCTTCTGCAAAGAACTCACCATTAAAACATGCTAAGAAATGTGTGTTCACGTCCTGTTTGCTCTAATTGAAATTACTGGAAAAACTTGAGTTGGGCTTCACTAGATGTCCATGTGCAGAGAAGGGCCAGACCTAAATTCATGATGTCATATGAACGAGACAGTAAAAGAGCTACTCAGCATTTAAATGTTGACTGGCAAATGCCTCTGCATCTGACACTTACTAAGCACCTTTGTAATTTGAAAGCTGTTAGTGATTTATCATTTAGTGAGGGACTCATCTTTACCACCAGCAGAGGTTGGCAGTGGTATAAAGGGGTGTCCCGGAAGTGTCTAATTTGAATTCCACTCTTTATGGCAGCTTTGACCACATGTGATGTTCCTTAGAAAGTACCATTGACTGCATAATTAAACAATCATCCCTGATCAGAGGACTTAGATTTGAATGTACTGCTTCAAACACAACACTAAGAGGTGGTAGCTGGAACTAAGGAGGGTGCCTTTAATTCACTAATGCCTAGTTCTTCATCTTTTCTGATCTGCAGTCCTTTAAATATTCCCAGAGGCAGCACATGCATCTGTGTAGGGAATCTTGAGCCCACAGACACTCAGCTTACTTCTCTTTGTCCTTGCCACATGTCCTCAGCAGCCCAGTAACTGTTGGAACTAATCACAGGATCATCTAATTACAGTCTCCTTCTCATAGATTTCCTTGGTCGATGAGCTGAAGACTTGGTGCATGTTGAAGATTCAGAATCTGGAGCTCAAGCTGTCTGGAGATTCCAGGTCATCAAGACCAAAATCAACTTTGTCCACTTGTGAGTCTCTCACTGAGACTCTGGATACTGAGAACAACCCCCACAGTGGCAAGGACTGTAAAGCCAACCAGCCTGTGCTGCAGTCAGAAGGCTCCCACCAGCATTCCTACATCATGCTTCCAAATAGCCCTCCGGAAGATGGGGGAAGGAGCAGAGGCCAGATGCCAGAACAGAACTTTGGCCAACATTTTTCCATTCAACAGGATGGTGCATCAGGTACATTATCAGGTACTTTGATGTCATACTGATACAAAGGCGAGCTCATCAGCTGAAGGATACTTGTATTAATACCACAGACATTAATTCTGGCTGTGTGTTTTCCCCATCCCGTATGTCTTGGGGTTAGAATACACTCCAAGGCAGCTGCTGGGAATATTTTAAGACACAGTTCCCTTCACTGACTCTTCCTGATGCTTCCATGTCACTGTGTCTTTGAAGCCAAGTTCTCTGGTGCTCTGAATAATTCTGTTTTCTGAAATTCCTCCAGCTTCCCAGTCAGAATTGCTCCTACCCTGTTTTCTGGTGGGAAGTTGTGCAGATTATCCAAAGTCTACTGAAGGAAGGGTATTTAATGCTTTTCAGATGCATGGAACCTGTATCAGCAGGGTGCAGTGATGTGAACCTAAAATATTCCTTTCCCTTGAACCGAAGTCTTATTTAATTATTAGTTCCTTTGACAGGGACAAAAATAGCTGAGAACATTTCAGCCCAGTCAACGATCAGCATTTCAAGCCACCTCTCTGTGCTTGACCAGGGAAGCTTTTGATGTAAAAAGTAGAATGGGAGACTGGCTGGGCCTCCACAGCCAAGGAGAATGCTATCAAAGCCCTTGGCTTCTGTAAAATACATTGTATGTCTCCTCCCCCCCCCCCCCCCCAACACTATGCAAAGTGAACAGACATGGGCATGAATACCCCATCAGACTAGAAATGCAGAACAGAAGCATCAAAATGTGTTACCTTTGCAAAATTAGTGGGGCTTTAAGTTTTGTAGAAGCAGGGAGTTCATGAGTATCAGAAGATATAAACTACTTTAGGAATGTAACCTGGTCTTTGTTACATGTTCTTCTCATGGAGTCCTTTGATTGCTGTCAGTATGTAGTCCCCCAGCTGCAATGCAGTGCTCTCTGCCTGAGCCAGCTTTTCTCTTTTAATGACTCTATTGTATCACCTGACTGTGAAGATGTGATAAGGTAGGTAAGCCTCTACAGTGTACACACAGCACGGTCCATGGGAAACTGCATCATGCATCAAACAGCAAGGATTTCTGTATGCCAAAATAAATGCCCAGAGCTTTCCTAAATATCTATGTATTTATTTTATTCTGTAGGTACAGAGCAACAGTTAATCACTGGTGGACCAGTTTCTTCTTCTGCCCCTGCTCAAGATGTCAGGCCAAAGGACAAAGCTGGGAGTGCCAGCACGTTCCACAAGCTCCAGCAGGAGCTGCCTTCATCCGAGCTTTTGGGCTCTAAATTAAGACATGTTAAGGTTCAAGCTGCTTTGCAGCCCTTGACTGAACCTGCAAAGACTGAACCACGGAGTGGCTACTTCATTGACAAAGGAACGCAGACAAAGAAGTCCAGCAAAAGCGGGCAGTCAAGGCACAAAGCTGTGCACCACACCGGGGCACATCTGAGCCAAGAGCAGCAGCCCTCTGTCCTGCCTGCAGGACAGCCGCCTGCCCCTGCGCTCAGAGACACCTCTCAGGCCCTGGAGATAACGCAGTACTTCTTTGAGGCCGTTTCCACGCAGATGGAGAAGTGGTATGAACGGAAGATAGAAGAAGCCCGGTGCCAAGCTAACCAGAAAGCGCAGCAAGACAAAGCTGCACTCAAGGAGCACATTAAAAGCTTAGAAGAGGAGCTCAGCAAATTAAGGACTAAGGTACAGAAAGAGAGCTAGCGTCTACCAAGCAGGTAAAGACAAGCAACAGGACCCATTTTGGAACCTGCCATATGGGAATCTGGAGTACTGGTGTATATATGTATTTGTGGTGCCTGTTACATCCAAACAAAATCCTCTTTTTCAGGAGTAGGAATTGACTTTGGAGTTAGTTCTCCAGAACCAAGAAGAATTCATATGCAGACTGTACTGATGACAATGAGATGCTGCACATTCGTTCCTTTCTTTGTTAGTTCCAAGAATACGCTAAATATTGCACTCTCAATTTCCAGGTGCTGCTTGAACACAAACTGCGTTAGAAACCAAAACTGCTTTCTGAAAAGGGAATGTCCTTATTTCCAAATAGGTCATGTGTGGCTAGAGGGTTCCACTGGAGGCTACATGTAAATATGTGGTGATACCAATACTGAAGTGAATCCAGGGTGTTTGAGAGAGCTTTTGACAGAATTCTTTAGTGATGAAGGGCTATTGATACTATTTTAGTCTCTCTCTAGTCAGTGGAGAGCAGCTACAGAACCAACTCCAATTACAAGCTCACACAGGTGACAGATGCAGGCTTCCAGCTGGGACAGGCCAGGCTCCCACTGAGTAAGATACATCATATTAGGTACAGAGGCTTCTGTTGCCACTTTGCTTTTCTCTTGGTTTTACATTATTAAAAGCTAAGTTAGATTTGTCCTTTTTTTATGGAGTCCTGCTTGCAAAGCTCCTTGTGGTTACACAGTTGGTGGGGCTATATTTCAGTAATCTGACAGAGAAGTTGTTTAGGGATGGCAAATATTTTACCATAACCATGTTCTATTTGCTAGGTATGATTTTTATATAAATCTCTTCTTCAGTCAGCAAATGGCTGAATTCTCCACTCCTAAAGAAGCTTGAGAAAGTCCTTTTATCTAGAGAAGTGAAAGCTTCTTGTACTCAAATGTTTCTTTTTTTCCTACAGAGTCAGGATTTTCTCACACACCTTGCCCTTTGTTCCTCTCTCCCGTTTCCCCCTCCCTTGTATCTCTAAAAAGAGAGGCCCGGCCTTGGTGAATCTGCAGGTCTTAAGGACTGGATTCACAAATAGTCACACAAAATAGAGCTCAACATCCTCTTAAAGTTTTTACGGATGTGTTTTGTTATAAAATCAAAACTTACAATGGCCAGTGTTGCCCACGCTGACATACTCCAGATCAGCACTGTTGCATCTGCACCCCTTTAGGGCTTCCTCCTTGTCCCTCTGAGAAGGCTTCTGTTAGAAATGTAAGTTAATAGATCATGACAGAACAGTTGTTCAGAACCAGTTCAAACACCGGACAGTACTGTTATGCCAAGGAGAAGGGTATTCTTCTTTCTGTACTGAGGAGCCCTAAAATCAATACAAAATACTTCACAGTATTGAAGACACCACTGACTAATTAGTGATTAAGCTTTTGTCTTTTTAGCAGATGTATAAAGAAAAAAAAATTGTATCATATAGCAATATTTTTAAAGTTCCTATTAATGCACTATCAAGACAAGAAAAGTGTATCTGCAGTTACGGAAGCACTAGTTTTATTGCTCTGACTTCTGTAGTCTAACCTAGACACTTCCATATGTTTACAGTTTTGTTTAAGCTACTGTAGGAACGCAGAAGCATGCTATTTAAGTTTTGTATCATCTTGATAAAGTGAATGTTTTGCCAAGCAATTAAAATAAGTGTTGCTCAAAAGTCTGTGGTGCAGTGTTCTCTAGCAAGAGAAAATAGACAGAATCCCCTCAGTTGACTCAGAATGGGGAGCAGAAAATTGGACTTCAACTTCTCAGCTTTTGTGTTTGTGGCTATGAAACACAGGAACCAGTTCTATTGTCCATGCTGAGGGAGGCTGCAGGGGCTGACTGCCATTTGTTAGCTGCTGCACACACCCACGATTTCAGAAGTTAGGGGCACCAGGCTGAACGTGCAGATGATAGCACACAGTTCCTGAGCTTGCACAAGTACAAGGGAGACGGAAAGGCTATGGATTTAACCTAATCTACTTCACACATGAACTGCAATACCAAGGTACCCATTGGAGCAGTAATTTAAGACAGTAACTTGACTGCAGAGTAAATTTTAGAGGTTTTCTGATGCTAACAAGCATACTGTAAAATAAAGGGAGGCACCTTCTGCTAATTCCTTCCGTTCTACTACCCTTTGTAGTCACCCCTCCTTCAAAAGGAGGAGCCAACTGTATGCTGGGTTGCATCAAAAGGAATGTGACCAGCAGGTTGAGGGAAGTGATTCTCCCCCTCTGCTCTTATGAGACCCCACCTGCAGTCCTGCATCCAGCTCAGGCTCCCAACACAATAGGTATGTGCACCTGTTGGAGCAAGTCCAGAGGAAGCCACAAAGATGATCAGAGGGCTGTAGCACTTCTGTTATGGAGACAGGCTGAGATTTGGGCTTGTTCAGCCTGGAGAAGGCTTCAGTGAGACCTTAAAGCAGCCCCCAGTACCTAAAGGGGGCTTACAATAAATCTGGAGAGGGACTCCTTACAAAGGCAGTAGTGGCAGGACAAAAGGGAATGGCTTTAAATTGACAGAGGGAAGATTTAGATTGCCCCATCCCTGGCAGTGCTCAAGGCCAAATTGGATGGGGCTTCAAGCAACCTGGTCTAGTGGAAGGTGTCCTTACCCATGGCAGGAGTTTGGAACCAAATGATCATAGAATCACAGAACAGTTAGGGTTGGAAAGGACATTAAGAACATCCAGTTCCAACCCTCCTGCCATGGGCAGGGACACCGCCCACTAAACCATGTCTCCTAAGGCTCTGTCCAGCCTGGCCTTGAACACTGCCAGGGATGGAGCATGATCTGTAAGGTCCCTTCCAACCCAAAACATTCTGTTATTCTATGAGAACTACAGTAGTTGAAGGATTTCACAAAATACCTGTATTATCTACTTTTCTTCACAGCACACACTTGGGAGTATATATACTTACTCTAGCAGACTATACTTAGACACCTAAAGCCTTCTGGCAGGCAATTTTGTCTTGACAAGCCAACAACGCAGTGGAGATCATGGGCTGCAGCACTCATGGGGCACTCCCTGTCAAGAACTATTCCTGGTTATGAGGTCACAACCTAGAAACATACAAACTGGAGTCGAAGGAGTAATGCAGGCTCAGGGCCGTGAATGAAAAGCACTGTGGTGAGGCAGCAGGGAAAGTCTTGTAATTAAAGAGCAGAAATCAAACCGCTGGCTCAGGGGAAGGGGGAAGTTACATGTGAGAAACAGCTAACACTGATATGCTTGATTAGCCAAAATTCCTTTCTAAACAGCATTTTCTGGTAACATGAAGAATCAAGCCCCGACACACTAATGTTCAGTGTATTCTATCAGAAAACATTAACAAAATTTAGATTCTCAACAAAATGTTTAGACATACTTAAGTTCAAAGGGTTCTGTCTATACAAACCTCAACTTTTTAGCAGCCTCACTGGTGGTGTGCAACACATCCTTTCCTGCAAAGCTAAATATGTAACTTTGAAGACCCTTTGTTTGGCTCTAGGAAGAAGCATTCTTCCTTCTCTCCCATAGCCTGGAGGGGCCATACTGGCCTGTCCCTTCCCCTGTGCCAGCAGTGGCACTTACCAACATGGTGGCACTTACCAGACTTGCTGTGAGGCTGTCCAGCTAGTAAGGGCAGGTGGCTTCTCAAATGAATTGTAGTAGAGTGAGAGAGGGAAGAGTTCCTTTATCTCTTGAAACCACGACCTGAATTGCAAGCAAGTACCTGACTACTGGATAGTCAGGTATGCAGCTACTTTTGTCTGGCTTTTTTATGCTGAGAGAATCCCAGACTCACCTTGGCATTTTTCATTTTAGAAAAAGAAGATAAACTGCAATTCACAGAGAGGTAAGAATGATTGCAAGCTAACAATTAAAAGTTGAGTAACATAACGTTTGGAAAACCAGCCCACAATATCTGCAGTTAGTCTTTTCTGTCTGCAATTCTTCTTTATATTGACTTTTAAATACTAAAAGTTGAAGGTAATTCCTGTTAACTTGGTCATAACTGTTTCAGGGGATAAAATCACACATCTTCATATATAAAGACCTCCCCTTTTAAGTTTTATTCATTTAGGACTGAAAAACTATCTACACAGAAAACACTTGCTTTATGTTTTATCATGTTTATTTGCTTTGGGCCTATTTATTTATCCCAAATGTTCAGGGCTTTTTAATCCCAAATTTTGGTAAAAGTCCTTGGCACAGTACAGAAGGAGCTGTTGCCACTATAAATGTTACCACTTAAGAACTGCCACAATAGAAAACAGACAAAATAATCTGTCTTACATTTATTTGCCATTTCCCTGGTGTAACACTGCTGCTGTAGTTTTGGTGCTTTCTGCTTTTCCCACAGCACATGCTACATCATCCATTCAGGCCTTTAAAATCCTTTTGTGTCTCAGTGATTTCCACATGGGAGGGTAGCCAAACTGAGATGAGAAAGGGGAATAAACAAAACCCCCACCATGGTAGATTCCACCTTCAAACATTACCAGGTTGCCAGCAAAGGCTGCTACTCTAACCACATTCTGGAAGAAATACTATGCTTGTTCACAGCAGCTGAAAGTCCAGCTGTCAACAAACTTTAAGATCAGGATTTTGCTAGCTTAAGTGTTCTTTGAAGTTCCTGAAGTTGCATGTTGCCTTGAGTGATCATCATCCTGATGGCATCCTGTAAACCAAAATGCAATCTACTGAACCAAACATCTGTTCACAGCCCAGGTTTTACACAAGCACATGGATTTTAACACATTAAAACACGTACAATTCTTACCAGCACTATTGTGATCTGTTTTTTTTTGTGTGTGAAATTAATGCTATAATCACTGAGATGGTTAAAAACCAAGCGAACAAATGAATTAATTTAACAACACGTTTGGGGGCTGGTGACAGCTTTGCTTTAAAACTCAGTTTGGAACTGGATTCAAACTTCTAATAGTGTTTTCTTTATGCCTGTTTGTCTACTGCCTTTGCAGGCAAGCAGTGACAACTGCACAGAGGCATTATGCAGACAGGTGTTTGCACAGCAAGGGGATGTTTCAATGTTATTCTGATACAAGTCCTGTAATACTTTGTGTAATGCAGCCAGCAATACCTTGAGCACTGGCTAGAAAAAAGGATCAAGGTATAAAGCGGAGGACAGTAGACATACAAGAAACGTGAAGGTTTCTGCATTTCATACATGCTTCCTAGACACAACCATCCAATTTGATTGTGTTCAGCTTGAAATTTAAGATGAAAAAAAGGTATAAAAAGTTTGACCATTAATGAGTACATTATTGTATTACTCCATACAATTTTTCTCATTTGTGGTTTGAGTAGGCAGCATTTGTTTGGGTTTTAGGTTTTAATTCCAGATTATTATCTGGAAATTAAGAGAAACATCACTACTGCCAGCAGGGGGATCGTATTTAGAGATGCTGAATTACGTCTTCATATAAATGTTCCTTAAGAGAAAACAGTACTAGGAAACCTCTTACCAGCCTCGAAGTGACACCTGTAACAACCCTTGTATGAACTGCAGGACAACACACTGATCATTCCCGAGGGCAGGCAGTCAGGGTTCGGGGTTCCCGATCCTCACCTCATCTGTAGCATCTTTATTTCTCCTGAACTCCTCCCTGGCCCAGTCCTTTAAATAGCGGCGATCTGCTTCAGCAGGGACCTCACGAATAGCCCTTAGGATCTTCCTGTATAACTGAAGAACCTGCTGTCGCCTCAGGAACTGGGAAGGAAAGAGGCAAGTCCATCCGCTGTCCCAAGACACTGGTGCGAGGTAAACCCTCCGAGACTTTGTGGGACATTGAACCACCACAGTTCCCCACCGCGCAGTACTGCCCGAGATCCCGGTCCATGAAGCTTCAATGTCATCGGAAGGGGCATTCCAAGCACGCTGCGGTGCCTCAGGCCAGCTGCACACATGCACATGCAGCATTACATACGTGGGCGAGACCCACCTCACCCCTCGGCCACCCGCCGCCGCGGCCCAGCCCACGGCTCCCGCCCACCGGCCACCTCCCTCAGCCTCGCTGCTGCCATTCGCCACCCAGGCCGGGGGCCCTGTCAGCACTGCGGCTGCCGGAGGGAACCTGAGCCGCCCGCCCGCCCGCCCGCCCGTACCTGCTTCAGGTTGAGCGCACCCGGCGGCAGGCGGCTGGCGGCCATGACGCGCAGCTCCGCCTCTCCCGCCGCCGCCGTGGCCGCCGAGCCCGCCCCCGGCGGGCGGGGAGCACCGGCCGCCATTTCCGCTGCCTCTGGGGGCGGGCTCCTCGCTGTGGGCAAAGGCGGAGCTTGTCCCCCAGAGCACCGGCGGAGCTCAACGCCGAGGCGGAGGCTAGGGCCCCCCCTGCACCCGCCCGCGGCCGGTGCCTGGAGGGCTGCGGGCAGCCGCGGACAGCCGCGGACAGCAGGACCCAGATGCAACAAACTGGAACAACAAACTATAACGTGCATTGGAAACAGATCCTTGCCATCTTAGCGAAACTTTCGGTTTCTAAACTGTTTTCTCCAATGACAACAACTACGCAGTAAAAGTCTGAAGTGCACGCTCGTGAATCATCCGATGAACTAAAACCACCTGCTTCCACAGCTAAATTTCCCAAAGCATGCAAGTATTTCTGCTCGCTTATGAGAGATCTAAAGCACATTGGAAACACAGAACACGGTACCTGACATTTAACTGCTTATGGGGTAGAGCTCCCCTGTTCAGTCTGCGGTTCTGAAATGTGCTTATTGTGAATGAGCTGTGGCAAAGTGACACAAATAAAAGAAACAGCCTCCGGGTCTTATCGCTGCTGCGCCTCAGAACAGCCCCAGCAGTACTTCCAAGTGAGGTTTTTCTACCTAGAAGCCAGTGAGAACAATCACATCTTTGGGCATGCACCCATGTTTCCAGCTGCTTCCTGAGCAACTCCTGCACCACACTTAGAATGAGACACCTCTGATTTTTGTACACAAAGACCAGGAGCATTTAAAGTTTCCTTCAGGTTTCCTTTGAGAGAAGTCACAAAGACTGGACCCTGAATCAAATGGCATTATCCTCATGAAAGGAAGATGGGTGTTGACATTACATAAACCACAATACATTTTCATATGGAACTTTGTGCACTGCTAGAGAATGCACAGCATTTTCCATCAGGCAAATTTATTCAAGCTGTGATCAACTGAAAGAACAGACGTCATAATTACAAACAGTGGTACCTCTCTTTATTAGTACAGACAATATAAGATGCATAGCTTTTGAAATGAACAATCATGTCCATGCTCTTAAAACATCAGATTAACGAAAGGTCCTCAATGTCTGCCTTGGACAGAGGGGCAAACATCACAGTGTAAACTTGATAAGATAAGGATGATTGTATGGCATTATTCTCCTGTTGGTATTATCAGACAAAAATCAGCAATAATTAAGTAGGATGTGTTAGACTGCAAAATAGTTTCAGGTTTTCAAGTACTTGTTTTTTGGTTGTTTAAAACCATCTGCTTCCCCCAGCTCCTTGCCAAAGAGGCACCCACCACATGGGTGAAGCTAAAGAATGCTTTTTTGCAAAGACACCTGAAGTTCTTCTAAGGCAGAACTGCCTTAGAAGCAATACCATTTTTTCTTATTGCAACAGACAGTGGCAGCAATAATGTCACTGCTGTGAACATTACATAATAGTATTTTTTAGAAGTAATAAGTTATCACAAGAGAAGTTGAAAAGTTTTGCATTATTTTTGAGAACAGGCAATGAAAGATGATGGTCTCACCATTGCACAACCGTCCTCTTAACAAATGTGGAAGAATGCCTCAAGCACTTTGTTCTTACGCAGTCTGACCTGCCAGAGGGCAGCTCCTGCACATTAATCCTAGTTATAAAGAGGCTTTATGAACTCCGTGATGAAGTGCCGCTTCATCTATGTCAGCGGCTTAGCAGCAATCAGGTATTGACATTGTCTACAAAGTCTACAAAGTGTCTGAGGCAGTCACCAGCTCAAACCACTGTCTGAGTGCGTCACTGAGAGTTTCTGGAAGCGCATTCACATCCCTAAGGATCATGTAGAATGGGAAGGGGAATTCTTCCATGTAAGATCTGATTTCAGGCAATTCCCCAGGACCTTTGAATATAGGTACTTTAATGTCCAAAATGGAATCCTGTGAAAAGAAAAAATTATGTTACTACTTCAAATAGTTTTAATTCCTCCTCTGTTAAATCAGAAGTTAATAAGAGAGTTCTAAGATTAAAAGCCGTAAGTGTCTGATGGCAAATCAAACCGAAGCATCTAAGTGCTTTTGCCCTTTTAGATAAACATGCTCTAATCATCAAATTACAGGCCAGAAGAGACTAATCTTAAGTTTCTGCAAAACTAAGTTCCATAAATAAATCCCATCTTTCCTTAGTATTTTATGATTTGAGTTTACTTAAGCACTTCAGTTTTATACATGTGATGCCTTCCCGACGCTGTAAGCTCCTGTCATCTGGAAGCTCTTTAGGGCTGAGCTCAACTTGTATCTGTGCAGTGATACAAGATTCTTTTGCAAATTATAATATTTGAGTACTACAAAGACAAAAATCAGATTAAACCCCAGCTGTGCTGCTTGTAAAGTAACTTCTCAGTTGCCCAGCATAGCAGCTCAGAAAATTAATACATTTCACTGTCCAGAATTTTCACTTGACATTACAGCCAAATTTCATTTGAACCTTGCAACTGTCAGCAACAGAACTGGTGGTACCCAGCTTTCCCAGTTCAGGTGCTAAATAACTCTCCTGTACTCCTTTCAGTCTAATGTTTACTTACATGGGCTCCAACTGCCATTTCAAATGGAGACTGCTGTCAGACATGATCAATTTGAATCAAAACTGAGATGGAACAAAGCATCTCTATAACTCTGAATCTGTCAACCTGCCAGCTCCTTCTCTGGTGGCCAAAATCTACAACCTTTACATTTGAAGACAGGACCTCTTAGCTAGCCTTCCTGTGGCATGGAAGCCAATCTTTCTTCTTTTTAATACAAAAGGGATTAAGAATCACAGGAGGGAGAAATCACAAAAGATCTGACAGACATGAAAAACTGAAATTGAGCTCAATATCTTTGACCTCTGAAAAAGATAAGATAGCTGTATAGCACTACAAAAAGACAAGAAAAAGATTTGTATCAGTTTCTCATTCACTGCAGTTGAATACTTCTCCGTTGTTCATTGACTTACCCGGGAATTAGGATTGTCCAACACTACAAAAATGACAAAGATATGGGCATTCTGAGCTGCGTGAACTGCTGCTGTCACTCGTTCCTTGCCTTCCAAGAAAAGGCCTCTTCCATCAGATACAATCAAAAGCAGCTGTGCTGTTTCTGAGCACAAAGAACATTTAAAATTACAGTAAGTTAAGAGTAATCCGTTTAAAGGGCAAAAAAGAGTATTTTGCCTTGCGGGTATAATGGAAAGATGATTATTCCTAATGAAATTAAGTCTTTATCAAAGAGAATTCTGACTTAACATTAAGCTGCAGTTACCAGTAGGTCAAGAAAGAAAAGTTTTTTTCCCACGGTGTGAAACCATTGGGAATAATGGAAAAAAAAAAAAAGCCCCAGTCCATCAGTACCATAATCAAGGATGAAAGGCGTGGAAAATACCTAATGAACTTAGTCGTGGCCTTGTCTTTCATGCCTCGTAATTGCCTACTGGCTGAATTACAAGAATCCAGCCACTAGATCATTACCTCAGTAAAGCAGCAATGAAACAAGAGTCCAAATCTATTCCTCCTATTCCTCCAGAAGCAGGTACTTATGGGTGCATCTGTGTTAGCATTTCACCTTGGACTGTGCTTCTGAAACGTGTTTCCCTCTTGTCCCTGCTTTAATGGGCTTGGCTTCCATAAGAGCAGTCTTGAAATTCCCCAAGTAAGTTATTTTTGGAGGAAATTAATCCAAAAGATGAGTTTCATAGGCACAGTCAAGGCAGTACAAGCACTACAGTGCATTCTGCCTCTGGGACCAGACCAGCTAGTTTGAAGTAAACCTCCTAAAACTTACACAGCACAGATGTTCCTCAGCACTGGCCATTTTCTGGTGGCATGTTACTTGACCCAAGTTGCCCCCAGAGATACATCCCTTTAAAGGTACATTCTAACTAAGTTTTGCATCTATCATCTTTTAATTACAAGGTAAATCACAGTAATTACTGTCAGGAATGCAAGCCCCTCTCTCCTGTTTCCCCTGCAGTTTAATGGCTAGGGGAGGGATGTAGAACGCTTCCTCCTTTTCCGCAGACAGGCCCCAGATATGACAGTGCTTGGTCTTTTTTACAAAAGGGGTGATGTATCCTACTGCCTTGTCTTGTGCTAGCTGCCTGATTCTAGGGAGCTGATTGCTGCTCCATCCCAGCCTAGTTCAAGACTGGAAGCTGCTCTTGCTCAGAATATTCTGACAGCCTGGCGAACGAGCTGTGGATTATAAATCCCAGATTGTCCATTTCTTGGAGTACCTCAAGAACTTTTTTCAAATCTGGGTGCCACCATGATAAGCTTTTAACTACAACAAAGCAGCCTTTTATGCTAACTATGGGTCAGCCACGAGGTGACAAGCCTTCCAGCTTTTCTGGGAAATTTGAGCAGCTCATGACCTAAACTTGCCCTACAGTGAAAGGCAGGTAGGAGGCAAACACTCTCCTCAGAACAGTGTGCTTCTGGACACCTACAGAAGCCAGGCTCTCAAACAGAAGCGCCGAGGGAGTCAGGGTCACTAGGGAGCTGGACAATGCTCTAAAGCAGGCATAGTCTAGGACTTAAAAATTATCTGGAAACATGACATAAAAGGAGGCAGGTAGGGTATGCCTTTTTAAAAAGCCTTAAACAACATTTCCATGAATTACTGACAAAGTAGGTATTTTTGGGGTTTTGAACTGAATTTCAACCAAACATTCATTTTGACAAAGCAAAACCTAAGCTCTAAGGCAAGAGATGTCTCATTGCTAGGAGTCTTTCTGGCAGGATATTGCTTCAGGATGTAGTGAGCATTCTGCTGCCATGGCAACAAGCAGAGTCATAAAAAAAGAGAAGCAGCTCACCCGGATTAATATTTTGAGACAACTGCTGTGCTGCAGCAAACATATTTGCTGATGATTCTAGAAACTGCAGAGGAAACAAACAAGAAGATTAAGTTATCTCATCATAAAATAATAAACTTAATAATGGTAACATTTTTAAAGAACACATTTCTGTATTTTAAATGTCAAGATAGGTCACTGCGACCACTACACAGATACAGTCCTTGGCATTTTCT